AGACTATTGACACATTTTTTTTACTACAAATACTGTCACACACTGCTTTATAAACCCACTTTTGTTTCAATATTCCGTTGCATTTCCAAACAATGCTTGACTTTTCAAAGGATTATTAGAGGTTTAAATGATTGCTCTACATGATTCGTAACATGATATGCCTCTACGTTATCTAAGTTATCAGCTCATACCCGTCTATTTACCGTGTGTAAACATTTTGATCTAAATTGTGTAAGGACTCGAAAGTAAACACTCCTTTCAAAATATTCGTAAGCAAAATCAATTCAGATTTATAGTAACCTTGTTGATTACAACTTAACATTACTGTATTAAAATGCTCACATTTTGATCTCTTTCGAAATAATAATTATAGTATATAGCTACTGATTATTGTTTAAAACGCATTTTCTCAGCTCTATTCATGCTCCTTACCAATATACACTTTCACAAAGTTTGCCAGCACATATTGAAAATAATTTTTATTGCAATAAATGTGTAAAAGGGTTGTAAAGTCTTGTATGATCGGAAGTAAACATGTGTAAATAAACGCACTTCGTTGGTGCAAAAGTTGTAGTGGCCCTATTTCAAATTTTATTCAAGTGCGCAATGAAAATAAAGCCGTCTAAAGTGAAAAAATAAAAATCTAATCTGAATCTACAAAACTGCACCCTTCACGGTAACCATGCTCTGGCAAGTCGAGACATCCTCACAGTACATTACATAACCTATCTGAACAATTGTTAACTTAAACCAATATTAGACCAACAACTAGTCCCGTCCTGCCCATTCATATACAAGCAACAACTTACTAAAAGAATGTTATCGATTTTATTACATATGTTCGAGCTGATACTTCTTTAGCATCTTTACTGCACCTGTTAGTTGGAAAAAGTGTTTCTTCCAGACTTTTTTCTCCGGGGGGGGGGGGCACTTGAAATTTTCGGGGGGAGGGGGGGCGGTATACTTTTTCCGGGGACACTGTTAAAAGTATATATTTTCTATATAAATTATATAAATTTCATTTTGTTCGGGGGGGGGGGGGGGGTGGCGGTAAAAAAAATTCAAAGCCCCCCCCCCCCCCCCCCGCCGATGCCTGGAAGAAACTGGTTGGAAAATAGACGTAATAACGTCATAGCGTGAATGGCTTGATAATTTTAATGTCAATATTACAAGTTGATGCCTCTGTCTGTCGTCCATCATGGGCGGAAACTTGCAAGCCCACTTTTAACATAGCGATTACAAAATAGGTCAAGGAACGACGACACTGCAGCGTGTTATAAACTTGATTTAGTTGCTAAATTAGTTTTTATCTAAATTAATTAACGTTTCTTCTCTAAACACAAATATATTTCACGCTATTATAAACACACTGCGTTCTTTTAAAATGCTATTCCTTTTACTTTGTCGTATAGCCTACAGAGTATAGAGGAAATAATTTTTATGATCGTGATGAATAATTAACGTAATATCTTGACAGTTTTCGCTGTCTTACAACTCACTATCTTTATCGTATACGAAATATAAAAAATGTACTGTAATTGTGCCAAAAGTCTACGTTGAGATTTTGATAAATGTTTTATAACTTTCCGGAGCCTTAAAAGCTTAGTTTTCCAACCCTGTCAACCTTTCTGTATGTGTGTGTGTGTGTATTTAAACATGATTACTTGAATATCGAAATTTCATATATATGAATTATATCAAATTTGATGTTTTCATTAGCTTTTGAGCGACTTCTGATAATTGAAAGTTGTACTTAATCTACTTCTGGTTTTTCAAAAGCTAATAACATGAGTACAGTTTACGTTAGGTGGACGAATGTTCACATTAATTTTGAACTATTTCCGGTAAAAGAAAATGGTACTTTACGCTGTTCCAATGTAGATACGACAATGTTAGTACTGTTTGATCACGTTCAATAATTTGTAAGTAACCTCCAAAAACCGAAACTGGAACTTAACTACATTTCCGGTTTCTAAAATAACGATAATTTGAGTACCGTTTCACTTAGGTGGAATACATTTTATAGATAGGTATGATTTTTCGTGTAACAAAGCACGTGGGAAATACAGTTGGTATATTTTTTTTTGTTATTTTACTTAATTTAAGTAATTATTTTGATGGGAGGTCATGCTTAACCTAAAGAAAAATTACGCCTGATATTATTTTTTCATTAATGATTAAATTATTTCCAAATTATGATTGCTAATAAACAGCTATTTCAGTAAAAAAAAACATCTCATAAATTTAAGGTTTTATTCTTATTTTTATTTTTCATTTATTAACTTGTATTTGTATTTTTCTGAGGCCCAAAAGGCTTTATTCTAGTTTCTAGCAGTGGCGTAGCTAGGATTTTCGGGCCCCTATGCAAAAAGTGTTAGTGGGCCCCTCAGAGGCGTAGCGACCCTTCCCGGCGACCGGGGACAAACTTTTGATTTGCACCCCCCTCCCCCCAGACTTTCGATTAGCACTTTCAGTATAAGAATTTTAGTTTTTCAAAGATGAAAAAGGGCCCCTATTTGCCTTGGGCCCCTATGCCTTGCTTACGCTTGCTTTACGGTAGCTGCGCCACTGGATGCAATTGAAACTTTCAGGGAGGGGGAGGGAGGCAGATTTAAATTTCCGGGAAGGGGGCGGACACTGGTTAAAATATATTTTGTATTATGTAGGCCTAGGCCTATATTGATTCTGTTTTATTTCAGGTGGGGGGGTGGGAGGTGGTAAACCTGCTTCGTGGGGGGAGGGGCGGTGCCCACCAAAGAAATGCCTGAAAGAATGTTTAATAAAAATCAGACCCAACTGGAGTTACCTTTGACATTTTCTATTTAAAATAAACCGGGAGTGATCTCCCCTAAACTTTCTCGAATATTCTAATATAAAATTACGAGGGATGGCAACTCAGGACATCGACAATATTTTTTATCCATTTATAATTACTTTAACTTTTTATAATAGAATAAAATATCGTAAAAAAAAGAATTACACCAAATGAAAAGTTTCCCTTTCAAACCTGACGGTCTATGGGGCAAGTGAAGTAGAGTTCACTTGATTCTGTGACCTCGGCATATGAAGAGATAGTGTGGTCAGCACTATGACCAGCCGCCTTTACTTTCCCTAACAGGAGTTAGGTACCCATCAGAGTTGGGTGGACTCAGGGACAGTCTACTGCATTGAACCCGAGACTAACGGGTTAGCAGTCCAGCTCTCTACCGCTAGACCACTCCTTCCCACACCAAGTGAACTTCTAATAAAATGTGCATTAAAGTGCGGGATATTATTAGTAGTTTATAAATTTACATGCGTTTTTGAGAAATCGGAAATAGCGTAAATTAGTACTTCCTGTAAACGGAAATTACTCAAAATTTGACAGACGGTAGAGAATTAGATCTTTTACTTACATGTGAAATTTCATTTATCTATCTGAAATAGTACTCAAGGTATAGGCTTTTGAAAAATTCAAAGTAAAAAAATACTACTTTCAGTTATTGGAAATCGCTCAAAAGTTAATACGGATCTACGATTTTGATAAAATACTTATATATGAAATTTCATCAACCTAGCTGTAACGGTACTCAAGTTATCGTGTTTACACACAGACAGACACACACACACACACAGCGATAATTGCAAAATTATGTTTTTCCGTATCAGTGAGGTGTAAAACGTCGAGATTTGTAAAAATCTCGATTTAAATCTCGATTTTTTTGCACGATTATAAGACTTTCTCTATATTTCGTATATACGAGAAAGTAAAAAGGGGTCGCCACTCAAAATAGTTTGGGAACACGAGTAATTGAATACCTATTGAGTTATGTTGATAGGTTCATGTATGTTCATGTATAGGTATTATATAAAATTAGTAGTGTAGTTTTGTCTCAACTATTGAACGATTTCCGGTAAACGGAATTGGTACTCACTCAACTTCTGAATTATAACATGCCAATAACTTGAGCACTGTTTATGTTAGCTGCACATGCTTTTGTAAAATTGTGAACGCTTTCCGGTAAACAGAAATGAAATTTATTCTATTTAAGTATGAAGAATATAACTTGCACACTGTTCCAGGTATTTAGACGACATTTTGTGTCTAAGTACAAGATCTTATAATTGAATTACTTTCTATTCAATTTTCAGAGATAAAAAATAAACGGAAGTTGAACTTTATTACCGGATTATAAAATACCGATAACTTGAGTACCGTTTCAGTTATGCGGATAACTAAAAAATGACAAACTTTTCTAGAATTCCCCATTGAATTCACCATCACTTAACACTTCACCTCATCTGCATTGTTTTCTCACATACATATATTACATTACCATTGTTCCTCTATTATTAAATAAATAAATAAATAAATAAATATATATATATATATATATATATATATATATATATATATATATATATATATATATATGTATATATATTAAAATGTATATAATGATGGTATAATAGAATTAAATATGTAAATTTTATTACAACTTTATTATCAGTTACAATATATCTAATATATAAAAATATAATGTTTTCAAATTAAATTGTAAAAATTGTAATTCATTAGGTAAAAAAAGCATGTATTAAAACACAGGTAAAATAGTTGAACACATGTAAAATTATATAATTATGGAACATTTTATCAAATGTATGTTTTTATTATAAATTAGCATTATATTTAATATGTAAATAAGGGTACCGATGTACATAGAGTTTGAACATGCATTATATGTTACTGACATTTTAAAAATTATTTAATTACTGGCTGTTTGTATGTTTATTAATAGTTTTGATAATCAGGCCGATACTAAATGTATATTTTGTCCTTGCTTCTAAAATAAAAATTCTGAGATTTGAAAAATTATTTAATTACTGGCTGTTTGTAAGTGTAATAACAGCTTTGATAATCAGGTTGATACTACATGTATAATTTGTCCTTGCTTCTAAAATAAAAATTTAAAAAAGTAAAATATCATATTTTCTTTCCAAAACTAAAATGCAACTAACGAACAAAATATATTTGTAGACTACCAAACCTGTTTATAGTCCGACTATTAGCTTTATCGTCGTTAAATAGCGTGTTTATGATTTTTAAATTCGATAACTCGTTTCTTTTCAAAAAATTTCAAAAAATCATGGTTTTAAATCTACCGATTGGTTTCGGTAAAATCCTATATGTTGTGTAGAGACAGGTAATAGTAAACACTTGAACCGTCATGTCGAAGTACTGAGTTGTTTATAACTTGTTGAAATACTCAGTAGTATGATGCATGTTAATTAATTAGAGCTACCGTATTTTCAACATTGTAATTGGAATAAAATTGGAACATTTTTCATTAGTTTTCCACCAAAAAGAGCTTTGAATATGATCTGGAGCTCTTCTAATTGTATCTCCTGCTTGGAAATTTCCCACAATATTTAACTGTCCATTATAGGTCAAAGCGCCGTATAACTTCTTTTGTGAATTCCAAAGTTTGGAAACAAATTTTAGTTTAGTGTTGAGACTGGAAAGTTCATTTAAAATACACCACAAGTTGCCATTGCTTTGTAAAACATAGCTGTGTTTGTCATTCCTAAAACTAATTATATGTTCTGCTTCTCCATCCAAATTGTCTAACCTGGTCCAAATTTTGAACGAAATATCCAATTTATGAACAGCTGTTTCTTCATTACCAATGTGAGTTATAGGGCTAAACATTAAAATATATCTTTCGAAAATCATTGCATGTTTAACTTCAACATTTTCTGGAAAATCTGTAAACTTTTCTAAATTTGGAATTTTTTTCTTTGGATTTACCCTATGAATAGATTTATCGTCTTTGTTAATGATGTAAATATATTGTTCATGTGAAATTAACAGCAAATTCTGACAAGGCATTTTTACAACTTCCACCCAGCTGTTGTCACAGAACACAAAAAGTTGACAAAGCTCATTTGGTTGGTTTTGTTGTTTTCCTGTTGCATAAAGTTCATTGTCAAAACAGACGAGCTGGATATTTTCTTGTAAATTTTTACATTTTGAAATATCAAACCATTTGTGCTCGAGTATATGTATTACTCTGAATGTACCCTTGCCTTGTGCAAGTACTCCAGCATTTATGTACTTACTACATGATCTTTGTACAGCAGCTGTTGGCCACTGACCGTGTCTAAAGTTTTGGATATAGTATAAAGAATTAAACGTAATATCCTTTAACACATTGTTTTCCGAAACCATTTCCATTTCATAGACGCGAGATAAAACAGCCGGGCTTACAAGACACGTCCTCACTAGCTTCACAAGTTCTGAAAGTTTATCTTTTCTTGAAGTACACTGTGTAAAACGTTTAACCGATTTAGTACAACAATCTTTGTTTAGCGCTTTACTATTTTCCATATAAGTATTCTCTTTAACAGTTTCGTGATTTTGTTCATCAGTAACGTCCGTATTCTCCCCACGATTTGTGTCAGTACATGCATCATAAGAAACTTGTTCGACCCATCTTATAACTGAATCAAGGACTATATCCTCACTGACAACAATCAAATCTTGACTTTTTATCAAATCCCTGACTTCATCAAAAGACAGCTGTAGAAATGTTGTTGAAAGACATACTTGATCAAAGTTTTTCAACATGAATGTACGAAGCTGTTTAAGAACGTTTTTTGAATCTAAAAATTGTGCATTAGTGTAAATATTTTCCCAAGTGTCTAGGTTGATTGCTTTAATCGCGAAATTCTCACACAAATCAACCATGAAAGTTACCTGTAAGTGATTTACTGCTCGCCACACTTCAAAAAGATTTTCTAAAGTTAAAATATTTTCACCTGTGTATATAGTTTTTAAAATTAACTGAAACACGTCACAAGTAACTTCTTGTAAAACAACACAGTTCTCTGTGACTTCCCTCATACCAGAACGAAAAAGTGCCTTGAAAAAATCAGAACACGCCGCTAGGATGAGTCGATGACATTGTATTGTTTCGTCAGAGATCTTGACGGCAAAGTCAAACAACATTTTGTCAGTCCACACATCCTGCAGACACTTGACGATTCGGGTACAGACTTCTGGTGTGGTCATGTTGGCAACAAACCTATTATGGATTGTAATGTATTGCTTGTTAAAAAGTGGACATTTATAACGACATATATATATATATATATATATATATATATATATATATATATATATATATATATATATATATATATATATATATATGTATGTATATATATATATATATATATATATATATATATATATATATATATATATATATATATATATATATATATATATATATATATATATATATATATATATATATATATATATGGAAACAACATGTTTCTGTTATGAATGCTATCTCAGTGTGTTTCAAATGAATGAAAGTATGTGTGTTGTAGAATAATTTTACAGTAGTAAAAGGTTGTGTCTGTGTTAAAGTAGGAGCTTGTTGCTATGGCAAGTAGGCCAAGGCAGTCTTCTGCTTGTCTTGTTAGGGAATGGAGGTATTCGTCCCTCGTCGTGAACGTAGTCACGTCATACTTTAGTTGTCGTTTAGTTAGTGTATTTTCAATCGTAGCTAAGTCATACTTTAGTTGTCGTTTAGTTAATGTATTTTCAATCGTAGCGAAGTCATACTTTAGTTGTCGTTTAGTTAGTGTATTTTCAATCGTAGTGAAGTCTTACTTTAGTTGTCGTTTAGTTAACGTATTTTCAATCGTAGTGAAGTCTTACTTTAGTTGTCGTTTAGTTAATGTATTTTTAATCCTAGTGAAGTCTTACTTTAGTTGTCGTTTAGTTAATGTATTTTTAATCCTAGTGAAGACTTACTTTAGTTGTCGTTTAGTTAGTGTATTTTCAATCGTAGTGAAGTCTTACTTTAGTTGTCGCTTAGTTAGTGTATTTTCAATCCTAGTGAAGTCTTACTTTAGTTGTCGTTTAGTTAATGTATTTCCAATCGTTGTGAAGTCTTACTTCAGTTGTCGTTTAGTTAATGTATTCTCAATCGTAGTGAAGTCTTACTTTAGTTGTCGTTTAGTTAATGTATTTTTAATCCTAGTGAAAACTTACTTTAGTTGTCGTTTAGTTAATGTATTTTTAATCCTAGTGAAGTCTTACTTTAGTTGACGCTTAGTAAATGTTTTTTTCAAATCGTAGTGAAGTCAAATTTTAGTTGTCGTTTAGTTAATGTATTTTCTTTCATAGTGAAGTCTTATTTCCGTTGTCGTTTAGTTAATGTATTTCCAATCGTAGTGAAGTCTTACTTCAGTTGTCGTTTAGTAATGTATTTTCAATCGTAGTAAAGAAAGTAGAAACATCTAAAGATTTTGTGTTACTCGATTGCTGCAATGTTTTCATGTGTTCTGCATCGTCCTTAAACTCACTTCGTAAAAACAACCAACTTATTTTTGAGCTCCGAGAAATTTGATTACCGACTATTTCTGCTAGATATAGATTTTTTATTAGTGTCTCGTCTTGTAATTTCATGGATATTATTTTCATCAACGACAAGCTACACACATGCTGGACTACCTACCTAGAACCACACGACTGTGCTGATCTAAATTTGGCTTATCTATCCGATAAAACACAAAGGTTTGACTTCCTCCCGAGATATTTCAGGGCGTGAGAATGTACGCACTTCGTGCTTCTCTATACTACTGTAGCAATGTCTTTAGTCTTTGCACCTTCTGACAATAATACATGTTAATTTACCGTTTGTAAACGTATGTCATTTGTAAGGATTTTAACGAGAATTCATTCACAAATCACTAAGCAAACATACATTTAAGCATCAAACCCAACGTTTTTCTTTAAATACTTTGCTTACAACAAACCATTACCTTATTTCAAGTCGTTAGACCAGAGCTAGATCTTCTATCGAAATTAAAATCTAATTATAAAGCTAAGTAGTTGATTACAAAACAATTTGCAAGTTACATTTATCGCAACATGCATAACAATGCATTACTATATTAGATCTATTTGTCACTTGAAAATATTTTATTGTAAATATTTTTCTTTTTAAGTTCTAAATCTAATACCTTGTAGATTCTATTCTATGATCGGAAGTAAACATTTGTTAAATATGCTGACAGGAAATACACACTTGATTGGTGCGAAATATGTAATCTAGTAGACTCAATTTGATTCTAACGCGCAGTGAAAACCAAAGCATTAATGAACACAATGTTAAAAGATATACAAACCTCACCTTTACTAAGCAGCAACCTGAACAAGCTCCACCCCACATTACAAAAACTGTCTAATCATTAAATCGACTCGCATTGCCATCCTACCCCTTCACATACTACCTCTCATTTAAAGAAATTGTATTGTTCATCTGATATCGTAATAAGTTATTTTAACTTTTAGGTTATAACTGAAAAATATTTATCCATTTTGTCACGCCTGTCAGCTGTAAAATAGACACAACTACAAACGCCCATTAACAATCCACTCCCAGCCCTAGCATACATTTCTTTAATCTGCTTCCTGAATTTTAATATTTGTTTTTTTAACTAACGTTTACAATCAATAACTAGCTCCTGAATTATTAGTATTAGCCATCTCGAGGGGTAACTGAGCTAGCTTGTCATTTGCCCTCCATGCGCACAAGTTAATCGTGTTTGTATATGGTTGTGATGTTGACCAACTTCCATGGAATCTGATAATTTAATGGAAATGTTCTAACAGGTTGCTACTGTTTCTGATGTAGTTCTACGGCCTATCGGCATATTTGATGTTATTTATGACAAAATATACTTCTTAACAGGTAGAAACCTTCTCTATCATACAATGTCAATATAATTAGTATGTCGCTGCCTACATTTTATATAATTTATGCGTAAAATACTTGTATTTTTTAATGTAAATTAATTTTAGTATTTGCAAGAAGATATTATATTTCTTTCCATAATAATTCTGAAACAAAGCGTCAAACATCTGTGTTTAAAGAACAACTTGATTGAATTGTTTAATAAATTGAACTTTATTTGAGAATAACACGATATTTTCGTTTGTTTGTGGAGGTAAACTAGTTTGATCCAGAATGCATTTAAAATTTATATGCTGGATGTATATGAGAAAACAAGACAAAGTAAAAAAATCATATTAAATTGGTGCATTAAAAAACTGCATTGTACACACACACCAATACAATCACCACACACAATCACGCACGCACACATACGCGTAAGAACGCACAGATACAAAACATTAAAAAGATATATATGTAATTGTAAAATTCATATTTATTTAAAATGTTATCTGTTTTGATTAAAAATGTTAAATTGCAATAAAATAAATAGTTAAAAATGTAATATTAAAAGCACATATTTTAATATATAAGCAACAGGGATATATTATTTATTAATTTGAACACCGTATGTACTTTGCTGCTGAAGTGACTAAAACCATAGCAAACTAGAACAGCACGTGAATTTACTTTTTCTGTTGAGTTATTGTACTTAAAGCTCTAAAATGTCTAGTTATAAGTAATATATTTATTCTGAATTCACAGGATACTAACTCTCAGCTTACACACAGAACATTAAAATTATCAAAGCAAAAAGTTTCTAAAACAATACTTTAAAAAAAAACACCTGGTAAATTAAAATCATTGTGCATAGCTGTGTTGTTTTTATAGAGGAAAAAAAAATATAAATCAATATATCTTTATACACATACGTATATTCTCACCTCTTATAGAATACTGATGCAATGTGTGCCGTTTAATATTAGAAGAGAGAGCGTTTACATTACAATTCGCTTTAAAATAACAAGAAGGCCAATTATTTAAAAACAAAAATGTATGTTCTAGCACATACACACAAAAATATCTCTCATGAAACTAATGTAGTGTTTTTAATTTGGTATTTTAAATAGAATATATTTTTTTGGGGTAGTCAGCGAACTGGTAAGAAAGTTTTGTTTATAAATATCCAGTAGATAAATGCCATGCATTCTTCGCAAAAATACACGTTCTGCGCATCTTGATCGGGACGAAATTAGAAGCATTTTTGTCATTTGTTCCTAGAAAACGAATACGTTTAAAGTGATCAGGAACTTCAATTACTTTTCTTTCTTCTATTGGGTCCGTATCGGGTTTGTTTCCAAAAATTATCAGTTTACTAGAGCACCATACAACTTCTTTGTAGAATTCCAAAGCTTGGAAAGAAATTTAAATTCAATGTTTCCAGTATCAGGTGAATAAATTATCAGCCACAAATTGCCATTTGTCTGTAAAATGTAGTCGTGCTTGTCATTTTTAAAACTAATCAACTGTTTGGCTGGTCCATCAAGATTGGTTAACTTGGTCCACCCTTTGGAAGGTATTTCCATTTTATAAATGACTGTCTTGTTATTACCTATCTGGTCATTTCCAAACAGTAAAAGATCGTTTTGAAGAAACATTGCATGTTTCACAAAAATATTTTCTGGAAATTCTGTTAACATGTTTAGATATTTTCTTTTCGTCTTAGGTTTCATGTTATATATCGTATTGTCATCCTTATTTATAATATAAATAAACGATTCGTGTGAAACTAATAACAAATTGTCGCTTGGCATGTGCTTCACTTGTTTCCAACTTTGTCCAGAAAACACATACATCGCAACCATTCCGCGATTTAAGTTTTGACCTGAAGCATACAGCTTGCCATCATGTGTGACTAGGTGAATATTCTCTCTATAAAGATCACAAATATGGAAAGATTTTTCTTCGGATAAATCTATAACTTTAATCGATCCGTTGCTTTTGGCAATAACACCAGCATGTATGTACCCACTACACGATCTAGTCAGTGTTGCTGAAGGACACAGGAAATGTCTAAAATCTTTAGGACTAAACGATAAAGCATCGTCAATTATAGCCCTTGACTCTACTGACAAATCCATGGTTCGCACGCGATTTAAAAGTAAAGGGCTTACAAGGTATATTCTCATCTTTTTTAACAGAATTAGCATCGGTGTATATTGCATCCAGTATTAACTGCAAGGTTTCGGGAGAAATGTCGTGAAGAGAGATGCTGTTCTCGTGAACTTTGTTCATCCCTGATCTATAAAGTGCCGCTAAAAATCCGAAAAATCGTCAAAACGAGTCGGTGACAATCGAATAAAGTCAACCAATGTTTAGTCATTCCACAAAGTCTCAATATTGTGGCATAAAATGTTTCCCCTATCTAGCATTTTTAGGATGAGAAAACCTGAAAATCATATTTATTATTTATGAAAATTAAACAAAATAATAGTCCTAGATATTTTTCAATAAAAAAGTTAATACCGCAGTCATAAGTCTTTTAATATACTAGTAGCTACACACAAAAAATTTAAAATATGTATTTAACATTTCGCTAATCGGTGATTCAAAATGCATCAAACGTTTGATTGGTCAGGCCGTTTTATATTTTGCTATTTTATTCCATAAAGCCTCGAAGTTACAGTTGTTGACAATAACAAGCTTTTAATATCAGACATCCTCGTGTATTAACTTACACGATAATTATTAAATGTTATAAATAATGACGATTGTGCGACCCAATATTCTCTTCACCCAGTTAAAAACCCTTACTAGTAGCTACTGACAGCCAGCCCACAACTAAGACGCCAGCCTTTTATCCAACAACAAACCAACGACCATCTAATTAGCCGCCAGCTAATTAGCCAACAGCGTACCGGTTGGAAACCCACTAGCAATTAGCAGCCATCCGATAATCGCTCACCCAACCAGAAAACCGCAAATCCCTCACCCAACCAGGATTCCGCTAATCCCTCGCCGAACTAGCCATCCGCTAATCCCTCACCCAACTAGTCATCCGCTAATCCCTCACCCAACCAAAAATCCGCTAATCCCTCACACATCCAGCTATCCACTTTTCCCTAAGCCAACAAGCAATTAGTAGCCATCCGCTAATCCCTCACCCAACCAGAAATCCGCTAATCCCTCACCCAATCAGAAATCCGCTAATCCCTCACCAAACCAAAAATTCGCTAATCCAACACCCAGCCAGACATCCGCTAATCCCTTACCCAACCAGAAATGAATCACCAATACGTTAATACCTCACAATAATCCAGTAACCAGCATCATTGCAGATACCATCTAGCAAATAGCTCAGCCCCGAAATGCAAGCAAAAGAAAGCCTACAACAAACAACAACCTAACCCAATAACAACTACGAATTCAGTGTCTAGAAATAGGAGCCTACTTCCTATTTCTACAACGTCATTTTTTTGTCATTTCTAGTTTAGTTCAGACATTTAGAATTAACATACATCATAAACAGGTACAATTAAATAAAGCCTTTCCTAACTCATGTATGACACGAGTAAGGCTTTGTTGAACACAAGATATGAATAATGTTTTTTTTTTTTTTTTTTTTTTTTTTTTCATAACTTTATGTAGATTTTATGATGTTGACAAACAATTATAGAATCTGACGGTTTTTTTTTTTAAATTAATATCTGAGTAAGTTCTCTTTCAGCGACCTACCGGCATGCGAGATGCCATTCGTTGGATATATGTCGCGATATAAAGTATATCGTTGACCATGTTTTTCAAGAACTAAGCAGTAAAATACATACATTTTATTATTATAACAACTAAAGCATCACGTAAACATCAATATTTGTTTTTGAGTTGGACAATGTATTTGACTGTTAAGTAAC